CCCTCCACTCCCAGGGCATAAGAGGTATTTCTGACATGTCTCAACTGCTAGTCAGGTATGTTTAGAACCAAGCCTATTAATCCCCTTCTGGTGAGAAAAGATACACAGGTAATAAGGCTAATTTGTGAGTGGCTTGTGTAACTACAGTTCCCCAAGGCTAAGAAAGATGTACCAGCATACATAATCACTCTGGTGACAACTTTTCCTTCCACATAACTTGAGGATTCATAACTCAAGGGAAGTTAGGAAGGGCGTTGTGGATATTTGTACACTGTGAAGACTTTGAGAACTCAAGATAAACACAGGATCCGAAACCAAGTGTTAAACTTGGCATAAACAATTAATGTACATTCATAAAATTAGAATCTATTTCTTCCCCCAAATGACTTAAAATTCTGAAACAGCTCAGCAGATCTCAAAATAACTTTAAAAGATGAGCAACATTTCCTGAATCCTTATTTGCATCATTTTAAGTAATCTTTTTTTTAGTTGTTTTTTCGAGACAGGGTTTCTCTGTGTAGCTTTGCGCCTTTCCTGGCACTCACTTGGTAGCCCAGGCTGGCCTTGAACTCACAGAGATTCACCTGGCTCTGCCTCCCAAGTGCTGGGATTAAAGGTATGTGCCACCACTGCCTGGCCATTTTAAGTAATCTTAAAAAACAAAAACCAACCATGAAGAGAGATTCTTATTATTCCCACTTTACAGATGAGGGGATTGACATTTAGCATATTGTTTATGGGCATGTAGTTAGCCCAGGGCAGATCAAAGAACCAGAGCCATGAGTGTCTGTCCTGAACCCCAACTCACTTAAAAGCATCCGGCGAAACCACTGGGGAGAAGATTCTTTTACCAGGATGGAGAGATAGAGATGGCCAGCAATTAAGAGTGTGTACTGCTCTTACAGAGAACCTTACAAATGAGGGCTTAACTCCCAGCACCCAAGCGGACAGCTCACAACTGCCTGTAACTACAGCTCCGGGGGATCCTGCACCTCTGATCTCTGTAGGTACCTGTACATGCCCACACAGACATACACTTGTGCACATAATTAAAAAAAAAAAAGTGTTCTTACCTTTGGTGAGTAAGACTTTACTGCAGCCTGCTCCAGCGGCAGATCTCAGAATTGTCCCCAGGTTCCCAGGGTCCCGGAGATTGTCACAAATCAACACTAAGGGCAGTGAATGGTGAAGCTGAGTCTTTGGATATGTTATCTTAACAGGGTCAGGTTTGGCGAAAATCCCTGAGGAAACAACACAAGAGATTTGCTTGAGTGGACATGAGAATGGTTTGAATTTTTTGTTTATTTATCTTTATGACCAAAGGAGGTGGTGCTTCCTGCTGTTGTTGGTGACCTCTTATTAGGAGTTGAGATGGGTCACATGCCCCTTCTCCCTGCTCCTACCTGCAAGGTGGATTCACTCCTGGTCAGATCAGAGGACAACTTCAGCTGTCTACTCTGTTTTGTATTCGTGAGGGTATTTTCTCAATTTCTATCTTAATGAATCCTGTTACCCATTTAATAGACTCACATGGATTGATGGGTATAAGACAGGAATACATTATGACCACAAAATTTCAAACAATAAGATCTCTACCAGTGCTCTGCCCATCCTACTTGATCTGCTTCTAAACTGTCTCCTCCCTGCACTCTACGCACCCACCTGTTTCGGCACATTTCCCATGCTTTCTCAGCACTGACAAAAGCCACTGTGGGTGTGGTGGCAGATGGCTGGAAGCAAGAGAGCTGAGAGTTTACAGCCATCATAATCCACAGAGCAACACTGCCACACACAGAAGAACAGGGTTTGGGATGTCCTCAGTGGTACCGCACTTGCCTAGCATGCTCACAGCTCTGGAGCTGATCTCTAGCACTTCTACAGGACCCAAAACCAAATGTTAAAGTTGACATACAGGGGCTGGAGAGTTGGCTCAGCAATTAAGAATCCTTGCTGCTTTTGAGAACCTGGGTTCAATTCCCAGCACCTACACAGTGGCTCACAAGTCCAGTCTCAGGAGATCTGACACCCTCTTCTGACCTCAGTAGGCCCAGGCATACACATGGTGCACACACATACATGCAGCCAAAACATTCATACATATAACATTTTAAAATTAAAAACTGGCATCTATATAACCTATAAGCAAATAAAAAAAACTTCATTTTGTAATCTGCTCATCTTACTCAATGTATCTTTAAAAAATTTACCATGTCAGTATATTTACAGCTACTGTATTTTTCTAAATATTGTAATATTTTGTAATATGTGTCAAAGTTTAGCTCTTTCCATATTGACGTTAAAGATTTAAATTTTCCTCATTTCAAAAAAAGCACTACAGTGAGTAGCCAGAGGCCTCTCTCTGTAGATACCTGAAAACTTCTCTGGGACAAACTCCTGTAAGTGAAATAAACATACAGTGTACGAATACTGTTAATGTTAACAGATGACATGGAACTGCCTCCCTCACAGGCTCTGGTGCTCTATCCATACCTAGAATGACAAATATATGCCTCCTCCCTCAAAGCCTGCTTAACAGAGGCATATTTACTTTTAACTTTTGCTCCTTTGATAGAAAAAAAATAGCATTTCGTTATTTCAATTTGCATTTTCCCTGATTAGTAGGGAGGTGAACATCTTTCGCACTCACCTGGTTACTTGTGACCCCTTTACACTAGTGTCTTTGTTTATGTTTTCTTTTTCTCTTTCTCCTTTTTCCCAATGGGATTTTATTTTACTTAATTTGCAGGTTTAACCTAAATATTTATACACTAGCCACACAGCTGTCCTTCACTGCATTGTCTTAAAATTAAAAAAAAAAAAAATTCCCAGGAAATAAATTCATTAAAGTAATGACTCTTCTTCCAAACAGCCCAGCCCAGAGAAGTACTGCCTTGGAGTCATGTGCAAGGGCTGTGGGGTGTGTGTGTGTGTGTGTGTGTATGTGTGTGTGTGTGTGTGGAGTGGGCCATTTGTGAGGTCTCCTGCTCAGGGCAGAAGCATGCCAAGTTTAGATGGGGCAGAAATCACGTACCCGGTGACCCTTCTCTCCTCACAAATAGGCTGGGGTGCTTAGAAAAATGAAAAGCCCGAGTAGCTTCCTTAATGAAAAATGCTCTCATTTAATGATCTCTGCATTGTTTCTGAAAGCATACAGTTTTCAGGGCAGTATCTGGAAAGAGAGGAACTGGGTAAGAAGCCAAAGATGAACCTGTAGTAATTCTCTGAGATGGCTTAGCAGGTAAAGGGACCTGCTGTCATGCCTGATGACCGGAGATGGATGTCCAGGATCAGGTAAAGGGACCTGCTGTCATGCCTGATGACTGGAGATGGATGTCCAGGACTCACAGAGTGGAAAGAAAAAACAGATTCCCACAGATTGTCTTCTGACGCATGCACATATGCACACAAAATAAGTAAAGTGATTTTTTGAGACAGCGTTTCACTATGTAGCTCTGGCTATCCTGGAACTCGATCTGTAGACCAGGCTGGCCTCAAACTCACAGAGATCCACCTGCCTCTGCCTCCCAAGTGCTGGGATTAAAGGTGTGCGCCACCAAGGCCAGCCCATAAAATGTGTTAACAAACCATAAAACAAACAAACAAACAAAAAACTGGGCATGGTGGTACACATGACTATAATCCCAGCAGAAAGGAGGTGGAAGCCGCTGTATCAGTGGTTCAAAGTTATCCTCAGCTACATACAGAGTTTTAAACCAGCCTAGATTACATGAGACTTTCTCAGTGAGAAAGCCGGGTAGTGGTGATGCATGCCTTGAATCCTAGCACTTGGGAGGCAGAAGCAGGCAGATCTCTGAGTTTGAGGCCAGCCTGGTCTACAGATCAAGTTCCAGGACCGCCAGGGCTACACAGAGAAACCCTGTCTCAGGGGAAAAAAAAAAAACAAAAGCAAAAACAAACAAACAAACCGGTAAGAAACTGGATCAGTTGTCAGTAAAAATACAATTAAAACACAGGCCTGAGAACTCTATTTTTGGACATCTAAGATTAGCCAACAACATTTTAAACTTGATTTAAATAAAATTTGTTGCCTTAAGACAAGTACGCATAAGAAAGTCTAGGATAGCACACTTGTGTGAAAAAGAAATTCTAGATATTGATACACTGTAAGTCACTGACCTATTATTCCTTGTGGTGTTACTAGGTCGGACCAATCCTTGATATCTTCAAATTTCACCTTAATGAGGCTGACACCTTTCAGCTTTTCCACTGGCAACTCCTTGACGTACTCCAGACGGCTAAAGAAGAACACTTTCGGCACAGCTCCAGCCTTGAGAGCATCTGCAATCAGCCTGCGACCTTCCAGCAGGATCTTCCCTTGCTTTTCCCGAAATGGCCTGGACTTAACTATGGTCATGACATTGCTGTGGACGGATACAGAGAAGGGTGACTATTAACGTTCTTGTCTTTGGGACACCTGTAGTTCTAACAGACACGCAGTGCTTGGCGGAGGCACAAACCTCAAAGAAGCCCCACCCCCACCCCCCCCTTTTTTTTTCTTTCTTTCTTTTTTTTCTTGCACAGTAGAAACAAGAGCCCGAGGCTCCGCTGTGCGGCAGGGAAGAGAAGCGGGACTAGTCGACAAGCCTCAAGCACACATCACCTTAGCCTCCTGTCCCCGGGAAAGGCCTTATCATAGCGAAGCCCTGCCTCTTCCCAGGTGTGAGGTGTCGATGGGGACGGGGAGGTCTCCTGAGGGCGTTTATGTCGCTGCTCCTGAGCACTAGCCTCGGGGACCGCCTTGCGAGGCTGCTTGTCAGGAGCGCGCTTCCGTTCCTCCACCTGTCCGGAGGGGAACAGCACTCTCACCGGGCTGCGCCGCAGCGCCCGGACCCAGCGCCGCGCCTCGAGGTCCCGAGTCTGGAGCCCCCGCAGCAGCGGTCTCAGGGAGGACCACAGGCCCCTCGCGGGAGCGGCCATCTTGGCTCTACCGCGCGCCACCGCCCGCCAGCGCGCCGGCGCGTGCTAGTGACGTCACGCGGCGGCCTTCCTGGGTCCGTGGAGGGCGTGGCGCTCTGCCTGGGACTCGGTCTCGGCGGCGGGAGTCATGGCCACTCGTCGAGCTCTGCACTTCGTATTCAAAGTGGGGAACCGCTTCCAGACGGTGCATTTCTTTCGAGATGTCCTGGGGATGCAGGTGCAGACCGGGGCCGAGCGGGGCTGGCGCGAGCCGCTCCTGGGGGGGCCGGGGAGGACGCCGGGCACGTGCGGCCCCTTCAGCCGCCGGGCCCACGACTCCGGGTTGGCACGGCGGCCTTTTGAACTTGGGCGAGCCCCCGTTTTCGGGTTGGGAAGCCTTTGAAAGGGCACCGACCTACCAGCAGTGTTGTCTACGCGCACGTCCCGTCGCCTACAGGTCTTGACAAATGTGTGTTCCACTCCTGGCTTGCAGAGCTGGTAGTCCATCGTGAAGGAGCATTGGCAGGCAAAACGTTATAAAATAGTCCCTTCCAGTTCACCGCAGAGCGGTCTCTGGGTTTGAAACGTTTGGGTGTGATCAGCAAATTCAAAGTTCGGCGTCCGTCAGGGCTGGGGATTTAAAGTTTAAGTTCTGGGAATGGAATCCATGGTCTTGCTTTCAGGCTAAACAAGCACATCGCTATCGCACTACGTGGACATCCCCTGTCAGGGCAGGACCGAATGGTCTCTTTCGTGGCTACTCTTGGCTCTCCTCTGGACAGCCAAGATTTAAGTATGAGGTCAGAATCTAGTCTCCTTTCATATACCCCGAAAGAGTCCGAGACGCTGCGATTCTAAAAGGGTCACTGAGCTGAAGATGTAGTGGAGGTTTATTGCGGAGCTTTTGTTAAGTCAGGGAAGTAGGGAACACACCAGTGCAGACTAGTTTGTAGCGACAAGAATCCAGCTTAGTGCGGAGATGGTAGAGAAGGAGTGCAAAGGGAGTTACACAAATCAATCAATCAACAGGAATTGATCAGTCATCGGAATAGCCGCTGTGTAAGGGCTGGAGAGGGCTCAGCCTTTGTGAGTGATGACTGCTCTTCCAGAGGATCTGAAGCGGGTTCCCAACACCAGGGTTGGGTGGCTCACAGTCGTCTGTAAATCCAGCTGCAGGGCATCTGATATGTGGCAGACAGACAGACAAACAGACATACTCACACACCGACCTACCTGCTGTTTCAGGGTACCATGTTAAGGTTTGGCAACAAAGGTTCAAGTGACTTTGGTGTTTGTTCCCATTTAGAGCACGTGATGTGGGAAATTAGATTTGAAACCAACAGTCACGGAAAGTCAGGGTTTCGTGGTACTAGATGCCATTATTCTGTTTCTTCACCAAAAGGTTGTTGTGAGGATTAAACATGTTATTGTGTAGATGGTGCTTGACTCATAGATAGTTGTGTTCTGTAAAGTATTAGCTACTTTTATGCTATAAATACAAGAGGAGAGATTTGCCAACCTGGGTTATCAGGAAGTAATTAACGGGGGCCTTGCATTCAAGCTGACCTTGGAAAGCAGGGTTTCCACATACCAAGAAGACCTGGAAAGGTGATGTGGAGATATTTGGGAAATGACACTAATTTTATGTGCATTTAGCTAGACGAAGAGACGGGATGTGAGAACATACAAGTTGGGATTGTTTCTGGTATTGTCTCAATGCTATGTTTGCAAAGCACTTTTGAGTTTATGCTGAAGTAAGTGGGGGGGCTTGTGGTACCATCGGAGCGATGCTTTAGGGGTCTATTTTTTTATGGTAGTATTAAGGAAAGAAATCAATAAGTTTTGTGGGTTTTTTGGGGGTGGCAGTAAGTAGCTCAGGTTGCCCTTGAATTTGATATGCTTCTGCCTAATGCCTCCAGAGTGCTGGGGGGTTACAGGTGTGCCACCATGCCCAGCTAGTCAAGTTGATGTTTGTAATCTTTGAGGGAAGTAATGGAACTTGAAGGGGAGCAGTAGGAATCAAAAATGAAAAGCAGCTAATGGCCGTTCCCGCGATCCCAGCAGGTGGGAGGCTCACTGTCAGCCTACAGTACACAGTAAGTCTACAGGCAAATTGCGCAGCATAGTGAGACAGTGTCTTAGGGGGAAAGAAACGACGACGACACCGAGAGCCTTCTCTCTTCTAGCTTCTTTCTGTCTTAGGCACTTAAACAGGCTATCCATTTTCACCAACATAGCTGTTCTCACACTCAGTCTGGGACTGAGAACCTAAAACAGCTTGCTCAGCATCACGCGCTGCAGCCAGACTTCTCTACTGCTGAACACACTTTTCTACCACAGGTGGCTTCCTACCCCAAAGAGATTGCATACCTGTTTGAGAATACAACTCACTATGTATCCTTGGCTGTCTTGGAATTCACCCCATAGACCGGGCTGGCCTTGAACACACAGAGATCCAGCTGCCTGTGCCTCCTGAGTGCTGGGATTAAAGGCGTGTGCCACCATGCCCTTCTTAAGATGTTCTTCTTACCTCTGCTGCATCTGGAAGTTGTTTGTTTCTCTTATAAAGCTGGCAAATGACGATGTTTATGTTCTGCCCTTTTAGTTTGTATAGATGTGCCGTGTACAATGCTAGTCCCCCAGCAATCCCAGCATATGGAGAGCTGAGGCAGGAGGCTTATAGTTTGAGACCAACTGGGCTACACAGTGAGACTCAGTCTTTAAAAATCAAGGGCTAGGAGCAGCAGGGCACTTGTCTAACTCAAGTCCTTGGGTTCCCCAGCACTCCAAAAAAAAAAAAAAAAAAAAGTCAAACTTTACAATTTAACCTACTTTCTTTACAGGTTCTACGCCATGAGGAATTTGAAGAAGGCTGCAAAGCTGCATGCAATGGGTATGGCACTTCGAGTCTTAAAATCCGAGGTTCGGAATAGCTCCCGAGCAGA